ATCTCCTTGTTAACATCATCTATAGCTGTGACATTGATTCAGCTCCTCTGGGCACATCTTATTGTGATGACTTTTGCCCCAGCATCCAGGCCTACATGTACATCTGAGACTTTTTGATAAAATCCGTTATACAGGGCGTTTCAAAAAACGCAACGGGTAGTTATCTCGTAAAATCACAAAACTAGTGATGACTACATCAATTTCATTCAATGTACCATGAAGCAACGTCTCTCCTCTTTGCGATGATATGTCTTAATTCACATGTGGTAATGATGGGTGAGAAATCCTTCCATTTGCACAGTGGGTCAAAATCGGCTCTGGTCCAAGTTTTAGATTTTGCAAAATGCCAATGGGAGTTCCCCTGACTTGAAATGCTGTGACTTTTTCTTTTGGAGCTATCTCAGGAGCATCTGTGCTCACAATTCCTTCACCAGATATTGCGAAACCTCGAGAAAGAATTGCCCATAGGCTGCTTTTCTCTGCTTTAACCCAAAGATGACTCGGGGCTGAACCATGCATGATGTGGACAAATGAGTGCATGTGCAAGGAAGTGGTGGCAATTTGGAGAGGTATAGGATGTATTCTTGCAGGAGTATGAGTATGAACACTTTACTGTCTATGCCACACCTGTCACACCTTCTTCCAATAGCCCCTATATCCATTGTACTGACTTTTGCAATGTTTGAAACTTGAGTCCGAACTGAATTTTGCCCTACTTTGCAAAATAAATGATTATTCAGCCAGCCATGACTCCCTGTGAATGAATGATATTCCATTGCAAAGAGGAGTAATTTGGCTTTTCGGTACATTGAATGAAAAGGATACCGTCAGCATTTGTTTTATGTATTCTTCCAATATTGCATCGGGCTCCATACGCTGACTTTTGCGATGTTTATAACTTGGCCCCAAGCTAATTCTGGCCCACTTTGCAAATGGAATGATAACCCGCCCAACCATGACCAAATATCAATGAATGATATATCATTGTAAAGAGGAGACACATGGCTTCATGGTGCATTGAATGAAATCAATGCTGTTATCACTGGTTTTGTGCTTTTCAAGGATAACAATCTGTTGCGTTTTTTTTTGAAACGCACTGTATTGATAAGATCTTCATTAGATTAGATCATCTAAACTATAAAAAGTGTAAATTACAATAGTTAAGATTCAACCTCTGTCAATCATACTATGTGATTAACTCCTTTATTTTCCACTTAAATCTCCTGTTGTTACAGTTCTCAGTTTTGAATGGTATCCATAGTGTATGGGGATATACCTGAAATCCATCCATTTGAGACTCATATTTTTCATAGATTTTTGGTATTTCATATTTTGGAAACCTTTTAAAACAAATTCAGATTATAAGTCCTATACCACACATACTTTGTGACATAAGAGATAGATGTAGGAAACCTACATGTAGATGTAGGAAGGGTAAGTTAAAGTCCTACAAAAATCAGTTCTTTCAAAAATATTTTAAAGGGCATTTTTTCTTCATGGTTATTTTGATCAATATACTTTAATTTCAGGATTACTAGTACTACTACTGGGCTCTTGTATGGATTTTGTCATCATTTTTCATTGCATATCGAAGACGTTATATTATGTAAAATTATATAAAAACTACTTTTCATTTTGCTTCACTAAGTACCTACTTTATGCTTATAGTCCATTTTCAGAAAAGCTATAACATAAATCATTCTAAGGTTGATCACCAAGGATTTTGAAGGTTAAAAAATTCCCCTAAAGTAGTTGTCACATTAGCTGTGTGGGCTCGCCATTTGCCACCGATTGACTTATTTTTGGCATTGATTTTTGGAAATGTTAACATCTAAGTTCTAAAGTTGACACTCTATCTGTATTTTAAATATAAAATGGTAATTAAGATTTATTTAGTTTATGTCCAAATATCAACAAAATTTTGTTTTCAGCTTTTTCACATGTTAGAAATCAAATGAAACCAGGAATACACTTCCATATAAACTTTGTAAATATTGATATGTATATTAGTCAACATATGTCAAAATAGCATAATTAAAGCATTACTATGTATTCATATGGATCATTGACAGTGTATGGTAAATTATAACATTAGATTTTAAAATACAAGATCAAGATCTCATGATTTTGACCCCTGTGAATGATAGTCAAAATACATGTAACATTTCCACATACTTTCATGTACAGTTCAATGGAAAAATATGAACAAGTCATGCACATTTTTACTCAATAAGATTGAAACAACTATGTTTGTTTCTTTTTTTGTTATTGTAATATTTTTATAATTGTCAAACAATGACGTTCACAGTAGCTGCCCCAAAAGCTGAATAACTTTGCTAATTCTAACCCAATTTTGAATCTGTTGTCTCTCGAATGTTGCCTCTATCTTCCACTCATCAAATAAAGGTCAAAACTATGCACACATTCTGTCATACGGCCTAAGTTCTTATATTTATGTTGCTAAACTGGGATATTCTGAACAAAAATAGATTGATGACGTCACAATTTATGCAAATTAGCTAATTTGCATAACTGAATATTGTAATCGTACAGGATATTTTATAACGTTTAATTTGATACCAATATCATTTCTATAGACCAAATAATGACAAAGCTACAAACACTTTAAACGTCCATGATAAGATGTCTGAATATAATTGTCAAATAATGACATTCACAGTAGCTGCCTCGAAAGTTTAATAACTTTGGCAATACTGATCCAATTTTGAATCTGTTTGCACTTTTATGTTGCTTATACATTCTTCTTATAGTCTAAAGGACCAAACTTTGCCGAAATTCTGACATACAGCCTCAGTTCTAATAGATATGTTGCTATACTCGAAAATTCTGAATCAAAAATTGATTGATGACGTCACAATTTATGCAAATTAACTAATTAGCATAATTGAATATCATTACTTTATGAGAAATTTAATTAGGTTTAATTTGATACCAATATCGTCTCTATAGACCAAATAATGACAAAGCTACAAATGATTTAAGATTCCAAGGTAAGATGTCTATAGATGCGTAACCATGGTAACGGAATGCTACAATACAGAGCAACCAATGAGAGTTTGCAAGGGCATCCGGCAGAAAATTGAACCTCAATATGTTACCTTTCAGAAAAGTATGGATGCCATAAATTAACAGAGACCGATACGTTAGGTACATTTTTTGAAACGATAGAGAGGCATGGGTCTCTAACTAATTATTATGTACTCTATTTGAAGAAACAAATAAGTAATTTTCATTTTCAACATTTAATGATGACTGCTTCGTATATGCATTTCTATTGCATTTGGCCATTCAAACCCCTATAAGACCTGGTAGCAGGGAAGATAAAGGGTACTTTTGACTGCTCACATGATCTAATTAACTGGTCATTTGTACTTTTCATCTTCCCTGGTAGCAAGGATTTAGGTTTTCGAGGAAATTAGTAATTCTATTTCCTATCATGTAGCCATTAATAATCCAATGAGCATCAATAATACACAGAATAATTGAGGGCATATAATTTGAATATGCATGGGATTACACATACTGTATCATTTTATTTTTTTGATCTACTTGTAATAGTTCTAAAACTAACCCCCCTATCACACCAAACTAGTTCTTACCCGTTCTTGCCAGTCCTACGAAAACGTCGTAAAACGGGCTCAATCTGGCTGTGGTCGGGAAATTTGTCTGAAATAATTAGCTTCTTCGTTCTTAAACAGTCTTCAATACGTCCATCTCGTTCGCAGTTCGTTCAGGTCGCACCACGTCGGCGTGCAACGTAGTAGAACGCGTCCCTTAGTCTAGAAGGTCAACATGACCTGATTACAGAACGGTATGGTCGCCATCGAATTTTGAATCGATTCAAAATTCTAAAATCACATTCCCGTCTGAGAACGTTCACAAAGTTCGTAAATAGACCTTAGAAAGTTGCAGCTACGTTCATTCCGTTCGCACACAGTTTAAAACCAGTTTTGAAGAACGCAGTGGCAACTTGTTTGGTGTGATAGCTATATTTTTGCTAACTCGTTCATAAGCAGTGTTAAATACGTTCTTAATCAGTTTAAACCCGTTTGCAATTAGTTCTACCTCGTTCTCTACACGTCCTCAGACAGTTCAACTCGTTGTTAAAACGTCCCTAGTAGGATTGAAGTACGACGGTTCCGTTCGTAGTACGTCCAGCTCGTCGTTAGTACGTTGTCACTCGTTCTAATTGTAGAACGTGGCGACCACGAGAACATTTTGAGCATTGTCTAAGTTCTTGAGGACCTACCCGTTCGAGTACGTTCGATGAAGTTTGTAAATAGATCCCAAACGGTTCTTAGTAGGTCCAGTCCGTTCGTACACAGTTGAAGCCCGTTTTCGAGAACGTAGTGAGAACTAGTTTGGTGTGATAGTAGGGTTAAACATGAAAGGCCAGGCATGCAAACTGGCATGGTATTGTGTTACAAAACATTATTTCATTCTAGATACAATAACATGCATATTGGCATACTTCGTTTTAATATAAGATTGTTATAACTCCAAGTTTTGCAAGTCACATGACCAATTCTTAGAGAGTTGATTGGTTGAAACAGTTGATATCAGATATGACAATTTAAAATTAGAAATAAGCTGTTTGTCTGGAGATGGTACAATTTCACACTGAATTCTAGCTTAATGAGAGGGAATTGAGATGGGGCATGTATCTGAGATGAAAGCCTGTGTTTCAAATAGTAAAATTCCATGTCTATCTCAATTTTTTTTGAAAATGGCAGTTAGTACAAAGTTATTCTCACGCGACGACATGTCATGATATAGGGAGAAAATCAATAAACTCAAGGCCTGTGTTACACTTGCTAACTGTATATATATTGAATGCTCTTACTATGCTAGAATATTTTCTCTCCATATATCTTGACATATCAAACACACAATAAAAATGTATCTCTTGCATAAATAAATAAAATATTTTTATATATATTTTTTCTATGGCTCTAATCAGAGTGTGTCCTTGATTTTAGATGACACAGTTAATCAAGAACAGCTTAGACGGTGTAATAACTGACTACGCATTTATCGTAGATGTATTCCCAAAGTTTAACATAATCGTCTCAAGACCAAAAGATCCAAATGCAGTAAGAACTTGAACCGTTTTTATTTTCATGCATGCCTTTACATATAGCTTCTAGGGATAATTTTATCAAAAAATCTAGCGAGCATTGAAATTATGGATTGGATAGAATGGCTTTTAAAAGGTGCACATAGATCAGGAATTTAGAAATACGCAAGTTTTAGAATCTTGTTTAGAAAATGATACAATAATTATGATCGAATATCATGTAGTCATTTTTACTTCACTATACAGAATGGGCTAACATTTTCCATATTGTGTTTTAGTATGACTTTATCAGGTAGCCATCATTACTTAATCATATAGGTTGGACCAAGAAATGTCCACATTTTTGAAATTTTGCGGCAACTCAATTCTTTGATTTAATATATTTTTGAGAATGCAACAGTCAATTACTGGCATACAATTGATCCTAGAATGGCATAACGTGTAGGTCTACTTAGTTTTTAGTTTTTTATCAGTAATTGTACACAACAGCTTGATCTTCATTTTAATATGTATCTTTAATTCTGTGGATTTTACAGAAATTTCAGATATGCCCCATATATTTGAACCAGGTGGCATATCAAAATGTACAGGGTGACCCAAAAAAATGCAACCCTCCATTTCTTCAATATTTTTCTAAAATGGAGGTAAATTGCTCTGAGATTTGGCACACAAGAACTTCATTCAATGTGGGATCCTCTGGCAAAGTTTTAATAACAATAGTCTTATATTGATCGAGTTATGGTTGTTTCAAAATATGCTCCATATATCGTCAATTTCGCTGAAAACAAACTTGCAACTGTTCATAACACGGATGCATTCTTCCCCATGGGTATGGCTCAAATTTTTGCAGGAATGCTTGTTGGAGTTCTGCAATTGCAGTAGGGTTATTTTCATACACATTATCCTTTAAATAACCCCATATATAGAAGTCAGGGGCATTGAGATCAAGGCTGTGGGATGACCATGGGTTCTCCATCCTAGGAGAGATAATCTCATCATAGAAATGACTAGTGAGCCAGGCTATGCTATCATAAGAAGTGTGAGGAGTAGCCCCATCCTTCTAGAATCACCGTTCTTGTCTATTGAAGCCTGTATGTCATTCTAGAACTGCCTAGAACTTCCTGGGAATGCCAATATTGCGCTGTGTGTTAACAGTAACAGTGTTGCCATTATCAACCTCAAACCAAAAGGGGCTGATTATTTCATGTTTGGAAATTGGCAGCCCAAGCTGTGCATTTAACAGAATGAAGGGGCCTTTGAAGCACTTCATCTTGAATTTGTGATCCCAGAACACATTATTTCTTGAGTTTACATGTTCAGAAAGAAGGGAATGTGATTCTTCCGAAAACCTAACATTGGAAATGGACGACATTTGGAGCATATTTTGGAACGACCATAACTCTATCAATATAGGACACTGATTATTGAAACTTTGCCAGAGGATCCCACATTGAATGAAGTCCGTGTGTGCCAAATTTCAGAGCAATTCACCTCCATTTAAGAAAAATATTGAAGAAATGGAGGGTTGCATTTTTTTGGGTCACCCTGTACATTTTGATATGCCACCTGGTTCAAATATATGGGGCATATCTGAAATTTCTGTAAAATCCACAAACAGATAAAAATTGAAGCATTGGAAGAGCGTTGAGTCGAATATGGAAGATAAGATAAACTACTTCAACATTAAAAAAGCGGAAGTGGTAGGCCAAATCTTGATTGAAAAATTAATGAGTTTATTTTGGTTATGAATTTGAAAAGTATTAAGCTTAATCTTAAATATGGCGCCTGGGGGTCAGGTAGAAAAACGCAAAAATATGCAAAAGAATCTCATGGCTAAATTTTCAGAATTTCAAAAAGATACATTCATTTCTTTGGTCGGAGATAAAAGCAAAAACTGTTAATAGCCAGTCGGGGAGTCGGTAAAATGATAATGTTTGTCCGATGTGGGATGATAAATGTAGGCCTAGTCGTTCTATATATAGATATATTAAGAGTTAGGGATAAAAAATAGTAAAATTATTCTTTAACAAAATCCCATCCTTTGTAAATTCCCGATCCAATCCAAGATTCAGCGTTTTACAATCAAATGATAGGTATCGATATGGTGAACTGAATTCAACAATGTTTCTCTCTTAAACCAATTATTGAAAACATTTTGTAAAAAACACGTTTCTTTATGTAATTTTGACTGATTGGCAACAATTTAATGCAAAAATTATATTATATTTTTCATAACTGTTTTTGTTAACATTTTTTGTTTTTTAGTGCAATTGTTTTTTTTTGTTCCTTTGTACCAATTCTTGAGAATGAAATGAAATGTCTTTCCGAACCTTGTTGGAACAAAATAGCATATAAAACATTTTCTTAGACCTCTCAATATTATAGTTATACAAAGGAAATTTTGGTTGATTTAACAAAAAATATGCAAAAACTTAAAACAAAACCCCCTCCCCCAAAATAGATAATAAAAATTAAGATAACCCTTTTATTTCATTAACAAGATATTTTTTTAAAATCAACCAAACTTTCCTTTGTACAATTACAATATTGAGAGACCCAAACACGCTGTGTTTATGTCGTTTTGTTCCAATGAGGTTTGGAAAGATGTTTCATTTCATTCCGAACATATGATACCAAGAACAAAAGAAGTGTCTGATGTGTTTTTCAAAACAATATACAGGGTGTCAAATAAGTCCCGTTCCCCCTGCCACAGCTAGAACCTTAATAGATGGTGCCTAGTGTGATATACCATTGGAAAGATCATACAAAGTTATGTTAACTCACCAACTCTCTGAGTATTTTGGATGAACTTCACCTATATTTTCATGATGTCTTTTATAGTTAGCAGACCCTCCTTTAAGCAGCTTTTTCGTGTCAAAATGAGAAGGATTTGACATCAGAAATACGTCAAAAAGTTAATCTTTTTTTGCATTCCACTTGCTACAAAAAGGTGTTCACCACTTACATTGCTCCTCTATTTTCTACACATCTTGCTCTATCTAGAAATTTGTTAAATTCATTGCCATATACATATGTAGTCATCTTTAGGTTCTTATACCTCATTCTGAAAATCCTGCCAAATACGCCAAATTGCCATGTTTCTAGGCCTGTAGTCACCTCAATTGATACACTGTAAAACTTTGTGAGATTGATTGACATGTGTCAGATATATGCTAATCAACGTAACTTTGGAAGACCTTTCCAATGATATATCACACTTGGTACCATATATCTTGGTTTTTGCTATAGGGGGGGGGACTTATTTGACACCCTGTAGAGAAAAGTATATATATTTCAAATTATAATGTTACCATCCAGAAGATGACCATTAAATTGACGATGTGTAATTTTTTCAGAATGTTTTGTTTTGGGAACGGGTTTAAGAGAAACGCGTGTTCAAAAAGTTCACCATATCGATACCACTCCTTTGCCATTGTTGTCTGTACTTCACCGCAATTTCCGTTTCTTACAAGTTACCATCCTTGGTCCTTTTTCCTTTCGTTTCAAGTATAACTCCCAATTCCATGAACTCAATCCCAATTTGATAATCTATACCCTTCCATACCTTCATATATAGCCAATATAAACATCTCGTTTATCGCCACACATGCTTTGTATGCCATGATGTCTTTCATAAATGTCATACCCCTCTTCGTTTATGTTTGGAGAGATGTTCCGAAGGCTTCCCTGCCCACTGGATCCTGTTCTACTACATTATTGGCGAAGAAAAGGACGTTGCACTATTGAGAGAGATGATGTCAGATAATAATGTTATAGACTGGACAAATAATATAGAAAAACGTGTGTACATTTATGGTATGTAGTTGTAAAATGTATTAACAAGTTACATTTTAAAGTTATATGATCATTTTGAAATAGTGAAACGCCAAAGCGTTTATTACTATAGGGGTAATAGTTACCATGGTTTAAAAGGTGATATCACACCGGTGTGTATCAAGCGAAGGTAACGGCCGTAACCTTCGCATCTAAGATGGCGGACGGGAATTGTCGATTTCGATATTTTTATATGATGTATGAGTATGATGATTTGTAACGGTCATGTTAGCTTTCAATACGTGGTACCTAAACATCTAAGCTCTCCATTACAAACTTTCATAAGGTTACCGCGTCACCGCGTATCAGGTATCTATCTATCATCTGTAAAACCAAATTCCCAGTTACCTTCCCTAAGCGGTGAAAGATATCCTTAAAGGATTACGATAAGCTTCCCGTATAAAAACAACATGGCGGCTCCAGGCGAGTCTAAGCTGACCCATTCTATTTTTAAAAAATTAGGGGAGTTTTGTAAATTCCATTTTATTGTAATAGTCTTGAAGATAAAATAATCGGTTTACAATGATTTCATAAAACCATGCTATGTCCATGGCTGAGACTAACATATTTTAGTCTCAGGTGGGTAAATCTAGATGTCAATTTTTCCTATTTAAAGACATGTTTTAAGCAGACTTCTCCGTGGCATTTTTTCTTTATTCCTTTTTGCTTTGAATTTTTTACACCATAACATTAACTAACTACTCAATATGCAACTTTTCACCACGTAGAATTTCATAATATTAAGTTTGAAAATTCCATTTTTATAATGGAGCTCAATGGGAAAAATGACATAATTTGGATTATTTTCAAACGTAGCGGCGCGATTTTCTTGAAATTGACAGATATAATAAATATTGGTAAGACGAAATGTTTGAAGAAAAATGAAGAAAATTCACCGTCCTGGTTACGCAAAATATAGAAAAACGTGAAATAATCATAAAAACCTGTAAAAATAGATTGAAGGGGGTGATATTCATTTTAATGTGCCTTTCACTTCTACAGGGTAACCATAGTTTTGGTAATGGTTTACTAATTCTAAAAGCATATCTTCCAGCATGTGTATCAAACGGAAGTAATACAATAAGTGTTATCATTAATTGGAATGGTATTATTATATTCCTTAGCAATGATGACAAAAAGGTAAAATCAATCATATCACATACTAGTTCTTACCATCAAATCGATCTGTTATAACTTATAATGCATATTAAACAATATAGTAGATCTTCAAATTCAAGAATTGAGCTAAGTTGTAAGATAATAGATAAATTGTTAATCTCTCCGTATAATCCCTTTCTCTGAATCATACTAAATTATAATATTTCGGTATGCTTATTTTAGCTGCTGTAGTTTAGGTCACTTGATGAGATATTCAGTAACATGCCGTCACTAGAGACAAAACTTGACACTAAATAATAATCACTCGAAATAAACGATATGAATTCTTCATATTTTTTTCTTTTGTAATACATCCATTCTTAAAAATTAGCATTCAAAGCTTTTCAATGCAATCATGAATTTAGTGATCTGACCCTTAAAAAACTTTTCAGGGGAAATAGTTTGTCCACCTGTAGCCCTTAGGTGTATCATCTTTTTCTAGCCATATTTTCCTAGGCCTGCTGGAATACCTATTTCAGTGTGCAAGTTTAGCATTGTTTTCCCATTGATCATTTGAGTTATCATGTCAATAAATGGAAATAAAAATGATAGAGTTTTTTATTTTATTGTAAAAATAAAAAATAAAAGAAGGTTTGGTCAGGAAGGGAACAGGTGAAATCCTTGGGATATATGAATTAATTAATTATAAGTTAGAAACATATTCATGTTTCTACAATTTAGGGTAACCCTGTGTATTATTCTACTGTGCATGGTTATACCCGTGCAAAATATTACAAAATGTTATTTACTTATTATCATAATTCAATGTGACAATATCAGGCTTATCTTCAAATTTGTATATAATAGTTTGCCTGTAAGGTTGGGCAAGCCGTCTATTACGTTGATAGTATAAGATGTTGATCTTGCAAAGCTCTTATGGGATAATTCGACAATATGTACAGTAACATATATGTAAGGGTACAAGTATGTAGTCCAGTATGTAGTAAACAAAGGAGTATTTTGGTCAACTCAATACATTTGATAAACACTACATGAAGTGTTTTCTATGCAATGATTATATACAGGCTGCTTATTCATTGTTACTGCGAATTTCAAAAGCTTCAAAATTGTGTGGAATAGAGCATGCAATGTTTTTCAGTTTCAAGCAGGTTTTAGTACATTCTGACCAATTGTATTTTCAGACTTATTCATTTCATGATTATGTAATATTGACCTACTTATCTGTTTAACATGTCTTTAAACACAAATAGAAGATCTTGAAACTTCACCCATAAAATGTCAAAATTATTTGTCAAAATAAAAATCTCCCTTTTATACGTGTGTGAGATGATCTTTACTATACTATTCCTACATAAACAGGCAGAGGTGTTTACTTGAAGTGACTTCAACCTGTGAACCCTTGAGTTGGTAATATTCCGGGTTCGCGCCTTTTATACTAAACGGTGAGCTATAGCCACATCAAAAACGAGCGTTCGATTTGCTAAACGATATGCGTTACGCTGTAACTGTTGTGCCTACGAATGGAATATGAACAAATGATCATACTCCAGAGTTTTCGTGTCATATAAGCCTGATATAGTTCAAATATCATTTAGCATTACCTCAAATATAAAGTGGTTTAATTCAATGAAAACAAAAAAATATCGAAATCGACACTTACCGTCCGCCATCTTAGATGCGAAGATTACGGCCGTTACCTTCGCTTGATACTGACCATTATCAGTACTATTTTGTCACATTAGGTATGGATGAAAGTCAGGCTATATTGAATGAAGTGGCAGAAAGGAATGGATGGCAAGCTGACAGCCATCTGGAAGCTAAAGCATTCTCAAAAGCAAAAGTTGATATCAGTGATGCTTTTATGTAAGTATCGATCGAAAACAATGCACGATTGCCATCTTTTTATAAAGTAAACTCCTAAATACATTTTCTATAATTGGATTTCATGATTTTAAGCAATTTACCATCGAAGAAGGAATTGAAATGCTCAACTCTCTGCCTGCACGAAGCTTCTATTGTCCGTGAACGCTGGCAGCACATCCACGCCGCTGAAACAAATATGCTAAAAGGGATCGAGTACTGCATCAAGCACCTCCCAAATGTATGTCTAAGGACTGACGATGGTGAGATTGTTGCTCATATGCTGACTGCCTTCACTGGCGAAATTTTGATGCTAAATGTAGTGGAATCACATAGACGTCTTGGACTAGGCACGGCGGTACAATTATTGCTGTGTAAGAAAATACTGGAACACAACGGACAGCCGTTCTGGATGGTAATGGCTAACAATGAGCAATCTTTGAAGATGAATCAAAAACTAGAAGCAAAGGCATTAGATAATGGAAAAACAGTATATGCTTATAGATATAGACATACAAAAGCAAGCTAGATGTTTTAATCGCATAAAATGATCTAGAAAACATTACTGAATAAGTGATAATTTTGCCTAATCATTTAATTTGCCTATTGCCGATTTTTTGCCAGGTTCGGAAAATTAAATGTCGGAAATATTATCTTCATAAGTTTCTTGCCATTGGGAAAATTTAAATTAGAAAAAGGATAAAATTTGACCACTCGGATCAAATACCACTTGTACAGTATTTACATTGTACAAATATACGAGCCGATATAACAAATTACAAGACAACGCCAAAAAATATCAGTTGTTGGAATCGTAAATAGCGTTGATTAGTTCATAATTGAAAAAGGTGCGGGGCAATATATAGAGGTTATACCCTGGGAGATAATATATTGGTAAAGAGAGGAGTGACATATTTTCCCGTCGAACCAGGGAGTATGACCTTTTTATAAGGGGGGTCTGATCTTTTTATACAAGATGATAATTCATAAAAATGACGAAATTTCAGGAGGGACTATGGTCTTTTTATACCATGATAATTCTTAAACAAATGACAGGGAGGATTGTAAGCCGTTATTCCAACTCGATATTTCTTTTAAAAAACGGAATATATTGTACACATATACCGTTGCCCGGCGTGGACCAATTTGGTAACAATATTACTCATATTTTGAAGTCTAGAACTGCCAATGAAATGTGTACATACTCCTTATATACTTATTTTATGGTAACACGAGTTTGTGTGGCAATGAGTCCAGGTGAAGTATAAAGACTTAAATTGGTTGCTATAGTAACATGGGGTAGGGATGGGTACACAAAGTAGTATTTCTTGATTAATTTCTTCATATTTTCAGTTTTTTATTTGATCTGACAAAAATCCTGCCCCGCCCTACCAAAACCAAAGTATGAAGTATGAAGTAATTAATCAAGAAATACCATTTTGTGTACCCATCCCTACCCCCATGTTACTATAGCAACCAATTTAAGACTTTATATTTATCCATTTCAAAAGGGTCCGTACACATAATTTACACCACTGATCCCAGTCTCCAAATTATATGGTATGTTTTGCAGGAATCGGCTTTTCACCGTCCAAGCCCAACGAATGGTGTAGAAGTGTAGTTTTCAAAACTGATGCGCATTTTCAAGAGATCACGTACATACCAGTACACAACTGTTTCATGTAATTTTTTTTTTCAAAGAATAAGCATGTTAAAGCAATTGCAAAAAACAATTACAATTAAATACAGTTACATGGTAAACATACATTTTACAATTTTACAATACAGTATTGGTTAAGCGTTATTCTTTAAGAAATGTTATAACATTGGCAATCTTTTTTATTTAAAGGAAAAATCGTCAGTATCATTTGTTTAATTTTGCTATTTTATTTTGCGACAATGGTTATTTTTCAAATATTGGCAATTGCCTCATTACAACGTCTAGCCCATTGTTCATTTGAATTAGAAGAGCTAACCCACTTATGTTATCAGGGAACAAAGCAACATCACATCCAACATCAGTAAGATCCAACGGATATCATCCTCAAAAAGTCAAATTGTTTTGAGGACTTGATTTGATTAATTTAACATACTTAGGAATACATTTGTGGAGTTGTTCTTTAGTGGACTTTTGAGTGAATAAAATCACAAGGGTCTGACATAAAACATACAATCACAGATAAGTCTCCAATAAACGGACAATAAAGTGAATAAACTAGATAAAATCATATAGCACTGATGGGTCTCCAATATATTTAGCATATTTAAGACTCATTTACTTTGTCATTATAAATAATACAAATATACCAACTTTGTATGTCAAATGGTTGAAATTGTACGAAAATCAATATTAGCAACGCTAATATTGATTTTCGTACATTATCTATAAATTTAGAGATCCAGAACCATTGCTATAGGGCTGATCCGTGCATGACCGTGATCTGGTGCAGATAAGACCTTATATTCAGGACCACTGGTATAGGGCTGCTCCATGCAAAACTGATCTGATGCAGGCGGGACCATACGTTCAGGACCACTGGTATAGGGCTGCTCCATGCAAAACTGATCTGATGCAGGCGGGACCTTACGTTCAGGACCACTGGTATAGGGCTGCTCCATGCAAAACTGATCTGATGCAGGCGGGACCATACGTTCAGGACCACTGGTATAGGGCTGCTCCATGCAAAACTGATCTGATGCAGGCGGGACCTTACGTTCAGGACCACTGGTATAGGGCTGCTCCATGCAAAACTGATCTGATGCAGGCGGGACCATACGTTCAGGACCACTGGTATAGGGCTGCTCCATGCAAAACTGATCTGATGCAGGCGGGACCATACGTTCAGGACCACTGGTATAGGGCTGCTCCATGCAAAACTGATCTGATGTAGGCAGGACAATGCACATGTTCAGGACCACTGGAATATCGCTGCTCCACGCTCCATGCAAGACCATGATCGGGTGCAGGCTGGACCATACACATGTTCAGGACCACTGGTAGAAGACTGCTCCAAGCATGAAAATGATCAAGTACGAGGGGTGATCCAAAAGTCTTGGACGCCCTGCTCTAATTTTGTTGGTTTTTGATAAAATTACTTTAAACTTTCCAATAATAAAGACCAACAACCTAACTACTTTGTGTATTAATTTCATGGAGAAATGATATGTTTTATGTAGTTTTCTAGATAGTTTTTAATATAGGGACCCTGCCACCCGGAACGGTATTCGCACATGGCAACTTTCAGCCGTAAATGTTGCCTCTATTTCACTTATTTCGCAAGTCTTGACCACTATATTTCTATGAATTTTGAATGTTAAACTATGTTAGTTTACTTCCTTTGTTAAAGGCAACCAATTAATTGTGTTTTAGTTATAATGTCACATATGACAATGGCCGTATATGTCAAATTCTAAGAAAATGACAGCAGACAAGCAACCCTCATTCTGGTATCATTTTCGCTGTAAGATGGCTGCTGAAATGCAAAACATGAAAGAAATCAAAGTGGAACAAAGAATACTTCAAGATATTTTCACTATTATTGACCTTGAGCAGCTACCATATGCACGATACAGTCTAGATATGGCTCCGTGTGATTTTCTTCCTTTTCTCCAGAAAAAGGAGGGCTGAAAGAAATTTTTCATTACTCGTTGTATGAGGTTTAGAGTGGCACTCCAGCAGCATTTGTATCACATAAGTAATGGCTGTTTCATAAATGTCTCCCATTCATTGGTAAAGCGGTATGAAAAATGTGTTCAAATTCGTGGAAAATATGCTGAAAAGTAGGTCTTAATATGTGAAGATGACGATGGCAGATGACACTCAGACTGAAAATTGGAAATTCTCTCATATCATGACTGGTGTTATGTTGTGCACCTGCACCTAATGTATTTGCCATATTATAACAGTTGTGACGTGATTTGCTATATTTAAATGCCGTTCCGGGTGGCAGGGACCCGGTATTAAAAAATATTTAGAAAAGTAGCTAAACTATATTATTTCCTGTTGAAACTTATTCACAAAGTTGTTAAGATGTTGATCTTTACTATCTGAAAGTTTCATGTAATTATATTAGAAAAGAGCAAAGTTAGAGCGAGGCGTCCAAGACTTTTGGATCACCCCTCGTACAGACGGCACTACTTGATCCTTTCAAAATGTGTGAAGTACTTAAAGGTTCTTGCAATGTCGTCCATTCTTGTTGAGCTTTGATAATTCTTCTTTAAATCTAGTAATTAGTAATTAATTTTAGTAAATGCTCAACATTTACAATAATTAGACACAATTAACAGTTACTATTTCTAATTGCATTTTTACAGAGAAATGGTCGAACTTAATTGAAATAATTATTGCAAACTAAAAATGTGTACTCCATGTGCAGTCGACCGATGCGATTATCCAACACGCTTTAATGTCGAAGTGATTTCAACGTCTTAATCATGGTTATCTACCCCTATGTATAGAAAAATCAATACAATTTCATTGACATCTGTTAATAATAGTGTTTATAATTATATTCATTTATACATTTGTATACAAGCTGAATAACATTGGTTTCAGAAATATAATTTTTGTTCATTTACACTGTTCAAATGTTCAAATACCTAATATTGCATAAGTCGACACTTTCAACACCTTCAACAAAATATCCTCATCCACGTATGCAGCACAAATGTTGCTTGAAGTATTTCCGCCATCGACTGTCCAACAGACAAAGTGCACATGGGTTAACACAAGAATTGAGAAACATAAGACAGAAGCCGGCAATCTTGAAGCCGTGCCAGTAAATATTGTACGGAGATGGGTCGAGATAGAACCAAAGAAGATAAATGTGTCTAGGGAGCCAACACATGACGAATAGGATGACGAGGCATAGGATCAGCCATGGACTTGTCCCTTCTTCAACAAACGCGAACCGTTGATTTTCATTTGTTGTGTGTTCGTCGTGTTTCAACTTATGTTCTGCTTCGTCAGAGCTACCAATGTCCATATACTGGCCTTGAAGTTCTTGAATGTCAAGAGTACGCTTGTATTTGGTTGCGATAAAGTAAGCTAGTCGTATATAAAACAAGGCAATAACAATTAGAGGCAGGGCGAATAGAATGAGGAAACTCACGATAGTATAGGCGCTAGCGTATCCTTCACCCCAACTATCTTGGAAAGGTAAACAGAAAGAAACATTAACGCCATCATTGGTGGTGTAGTCTTGAATATTAGCGCTGATGGCATTTAAGATCCCGAAAATGACAGCTATCAACCAGACACTTAATATCTTGCCAATTGTCATTTTTGTTGAGTTGATAATCTTATATGTGTTCGATTGAACGGCTGTTGCGTATCTTTCTTCGCTCAACCATGCCAGAGTTAACACAGATACGCTGACAGACAACACCCTCATGAAGTTTCCTAGCTTGCATATGGATTCACCAAAAGGCCAGCTATGGACTGTGTAAATTGTTGCAGCGAATGGAACATACGTACAAATCAATAAAAGGTCTCCAATGGCCAGATTAACAAGGTACCAATTAGGTGTGTTGCGCATGTCTTGGTGTCGAACAACTATGTATAACAGCGTGGCGTTTCCAATCAGTCCAAGGATGAATATAATCAGGAACAGAATCGGCACAGTGACAGACTCGGGGGTCAATTGATAGCCACCAAGCGTGGTAATGTTCATAGCACTCCTATTTTCCATTATACGAAATAGATTTCTTTATTGGCGCCAACAGAATAACACCTGGAAATGAAAAACAGTTATATTATCGTAACGATTATATAATTGTATGACAAGCAAAATAATATTTTCAAAGTACAATTAGTTCTAGAAAATTAGTATGCAAAGTATTTTTAAGCTACATCTATAAGATTATCAAACCATCCAACACCTTCAAAAACTTTATCGACCTGACCTGACCTGACCCCGACTGATTGCGAAGTTTTTTCAAGATGTATTCCTTCGTTATCGCACAGTGTTTAATGGCTTGTCAACGCTTATCAAATTTAATTGCATGTTATTGAATACAATTTAACCTCTAGTTAAACATTGCCATGGTTGACATTTTAATTGCTTTAGTAATTGATTATTTACAATTGTAGTTTTTCGAAAAACACTACTAGTGTTTGGCATGCCAAGTGTTTATAGAAAGTCATGTCCATTGGTACGATAATTAGAGCATGTTTTGCTCTAAAGGATTGCTCTAAAGGATTTTAAACACTTATTGTGATATTGATCAATCAAAGGCAAAGGAGAAAAGTGGGCAATAATGGGAACTAGACCTTAGTAGAGTCTTAGATGCCAAAACTGTCATGCAAAGAATAAATGTGTGATTATTAAAGTAACTACGAATATTGAACATGAATATATGTAAATGTAATTACTTTTAAATGTTTTTATTAATAAAAAAAGTCATAAAAATTATCCTTTAGTATGTCGATAAAATTGGTGAATGCAATAAAGTTGAAAACCATACGTCCCTTGTTATTCTCTCTTAGTAGAAAACACTATCAATGCAAAAATGGAAAAATATCATTTTTAGAGAATAAGTCCATAATTTTGAAAAATGGGATGTAGCGACTTTAACCCTGGATTATCTATTTTCTTTTCTTGCTTGGTGATTAAATAATGACGGACCCTCCACGAGACAACAAACGTCCCCATTATATGATAACTGCTAATGCCTGTTTTTGTTCCGGTTGCAAAACTTTTGGAGGGAAGTGTAGAATCGCTGCGCTGTATTGCTTTGTTCGATATGCCTGATCCCAAACTACAAAATGGGTATCATAAATGATTGTATTTTCTAACATTGATCATCTTAAGTTTAGTTTAGCATATCATAGTGATTTTTCATATTGGGTCATTGTAATACCATTAATTCTTATTCATAATCATAATTAATCACGAATAACTACTTTTCCATTTGCAAATAGACCATACCTGATAAATATGATTGATTAATCTACAATAATTTCGTATTACGTATGGACTTCTATATAATTTATTACTATCAAACGTCAATTTGGTTCATATCATTTTGCATACCTCTTTCTTCCGCAGATAAAGTTGAGCGTGCTGTTGTATTACATCGATATCGACCCTAATATTCCAGAAATCGGCGTTTACCTTGCTAATTGCCAGTAAGATGCGCCTTATCTCAACTGCCCGGTGTTGAGGCTGGCGGTGATATGAGCTTTGTTCGTGATTTAAGAATTTTAAAAGCAACGATGTCTGGAATGTTGTATTTCCAAGATGTGATTGCAGATTCAAGTAGAGTTCACTTTATTAATTATAAACATGTCTAACAACCCAAATAAAAGTGAAGTTTATTGACTTCTGTTATTTTCAGGCCCTTAAATTAATGTCAATGCAACTAGGTCTCTTATCTTTTTTTCTGTCTCCCACATCAAGTCACGTGATCTTATCTTTACACGCATATTATGACTAAATAAAAATAGCACTGGGGAATACAGTTGGAATGGAACATAGTTCTTCATTACTCAAATAAAGCCGAATATTTGGTTTTAAATATTTTCTCAAAGAAATACTCCGAAATTAAGCAACTCTAAGATTCCATACATAGGCAAGGACTGGCTGAACTGTGTTTGTCCCACCATCTGTCAACCCAAAACTACTGGACACATTTATCTTTTAATATTATCGAAGCTTGTGTAATGGGACTATGTATTTACCAGGCCCTAGCTGTTAAGATTGTTCTGGGGAATTTTATCAAATCGCAAATGAATAATTTCAATTACTGCTATCTAGAATGGAATGGAAAACACGAATTTAGTGCCATGGCGCCATAAGTCACTTTGCTTGAATAATGGTACCTCTCAATCATTCCCCTTTTAAGTCGACTTTGAAATCCATCTTAATCATTATTATTAAGTTCCACTTGAAAAAAGTTAGACGTGTAATTTTTCTTTATATGAAACATTTCTTGTTCCCACGATAGATGAAAACTGAAAAACTCAGTAGAACCAGACACATGAAATAAAACTAAATTAAATATATGTTTTGAGCGAGTCCCTTTGAATTTTATCTGAGATTGAGCTTACAAGGCAATAATTTGTATTTGAACGTCACAAATTGTCTAATTTTGCTATGATTGTGATTTTATCATATGATCTTTATTCCAATAGTCGGGCACTGGACGAAAGTGTTCAAACTCTTCAATGTCGATCTTTCCTGTGAGAAAATATTTATCTCTCGTTCAGATTCCACGCCCTGTAGACAAGATGTTAGTAGAAATTATCTTGATTTACATCATTAAATATTCAAAATTCAGTCAAAGTGATGTCATATTTGAAATCTACATGTAAAAGTACATCTATAAATATGGTTTAGAAAATTGTTTCATGATCAACTTTGAAATTTGTTTTTTGAAAATGTGACTTCTAGTTCGGAGAGTTTCCCCATAGAACCCATGTTGTAAAACCACAAAAAGTGAAATATATTTTCTTGTATTGGACAGATAACACTTTCTTTTGCTAGACATATTTTAATTTGCATAACTATTAGATACACAAGGGTGGTATGAAAATTGAACCACTAAAAGCAGGTGTACTTTAAGATAAAGGGAACTTTCTACTATACCCGCCATGCTATCTAAACCGAACGAGCCACTGGGTGATGAAACTGGTAACTACTTGCTCACATCAGAGTTATTGGTACAGGTCCTTTGGTGAATAGGGAAGACGCTACTATAAGACTTCGTTTCATTGCTTACGCACGATTGTGGAATGGGCAGACTTAATTTCAGTTCATGAGCAGAAAGACTGTCGATAAGCGCAGATTAAATGATTACGTGGCCTTGTTAACATGCGTTTTATGTTTAATTTGTCATCCTGGATACATGGTTGTTAGCTTATAACTAAAAGTATTTAGTCTATAGAATAGACATATGTACCATAATGAATGCAAATAACATTCATATGTTTTTACTCTATTCATTTATCTCTAACTTAATTACACGCTCGGTGACACAATTATTGAAATTGAAAGGTACGGTGCGATAGGGAATCAAAATAGAACCTGATCAAGGTCACTGTCATTGTATCACACTCGTAAATCGCTGCTTTGTTTCTATAACCCCCCTATCACACCAAACTAGTTCTTACCCGTTCTTGCCAGTCCTACGAAAACGTCGTAAAACGGGCTCAATCTGGCTGTGGTCGGGAAATATGTCTAAAATAATAGCTACTTCGTTCATAAACAGTCTTCAATACGTCCATCCCATTCGCAGTTCGTTCAGGTCGCACCACGTCGGTGTGCAACGTCGTATAACACGTCCCTTAGTCTAAAAGGTCATCATGATCTAATTACAGAACGGTATGGTCGCCATCGAATTTTGAATCGATTCAAAATTCTAAATCACATTCCCCGTCCGGGAGAGTCCATGAACTTCGTAAACAGACCGTAGAACGTTGTAGCTTCGTTCATTCCGTTCGCACACAGTTTAAAACCAGTTTTGAAGAACGCAGTGGCAACTTGCTTGGTGTGATAGCTATATTTTTGCTAACTCGTTGATAAATACGTTCTTAATCAGTTTTTACGCGTTTGCAATTAGTTCTACCTCGTTCTCGATACGTCCTCAGACAGTTCAAATCGTTGTTAAAACGTCCCTAGTCTATTGAAGTACGACGGTTCGGTTCGTAGTACGTCCAGCTCGCCGTTAGTAGGTTGTCACTCGTTCAAATTGTAGAACGTGACGACCAATAGAACATTTTGAGCATGTTCTAAGTTCTAAAGGACCTACCCGTTCGAGTACGTTCGATGAAGTTTGTAAATAGACCCCAAACGGTTCTAAGTACATCCAGTCCGTTCGTACACAGTTGAAGCCCGTTTTCGAGAACGTATTGAGAACTAGTTTGGTGTGATAGTAGGATCAAGAGCAAGAGAGAAATATGAGCGATGTCTTATGTAAGCACTGTACGGTGCACGCACGTTAGATAATAGCGAAAGTACGGCACCACGATTCACCTTTTATGAATCCATGAATACAGTTCAAAGGAGGTTGACTTACAAATTAGGTTCCATTCCGATCCGCTATCTTGGCATAATAGAATTTCTATATTTCAATTTATTTGAGAGTAAAACAGATGCTGAAACAAGTGTCAAAGGTATGGCAAATGATTTTAGACAGTTGAATCTTGTATGACCAGGATTTTTTCTCACCATGAATGCACAATTTCTCATCCAAATGGTTTCCTCCAAATGTTTATTAAAATCAAAGTTAAGGCAAGACTAGCCCAAACAACAGTTGGAAACACGTACTAGACGATGGCTAGTGAATAACCCAAAAATAACTGACACGTTAACCCATTCTCACGACATAAAAACTTAATTACATCTAAATAGGTTATACATGTTTAAGAGATCTCCTTCAAAGATGTGATGATGAAATTGAAAGCCTTATTTGGACGATATCAAGTCTTTATGACCAAGTTTAGTCTGAAAACAACGGACCGCTTGGGGTTCCCCAATTGGAAAATAACATCTTTATCGCATTTCAATTCAATTTCCCCTTTCAGAAGTCACTGACATAGGGCAGAAAAAACAATTGATATGGTAACAAGAAAAGGTCTTCTTTTAGAAAATAAGTCAATAAAAATGTGTCAAGATGGAGGTCATAAACAATGTCGACAAAAGGATTGATATTTTTATTAGCTTGATAGCTTTACTTTAAAGAAGTCCCGAGCTTTCCATTAAGAAATTATAACTTGTTAATATTCAGTTCATAAATACTTATAGTAAATCTGTTCGGACAAAAGGTTGTAGTATTCCATCATTACGTGGGCCAATTTTGTCAAACTTTATCGGCCCGCCCTTTAGTTCTACTTCAGATGGTGTAGCTCTTAGTAATACCTATAAAAGCCTAAAGGTGATATCAATATTTAAACCAAATAGAAGGCATAGCCATTTAGTCCCCAGATACGTCAAGATCGGTAAGATTTATCTAAAGACGATTTGCGCTACCTGAATACGCAAATATTAAGTGGATCAGTTTTAATTGGTGTATCTAAGAATAGGGTTGTACAACAGCAGAAATCCAATCAAATTAGTAAGTGGATAATAGAGATGAGAAACGGGACTTGAAATAAGCGTCTGTTTACGTCATTTAGATTAAAGGGTATGAAGTGGGTCTGGATTACAGCGCTTGAGTGGTCAGTTGAGAGGAACAAGCGATTGATGCCTCAGTAAATATCACGATGAACAAACAAATTGTAAGGCGAGCCCTGGGCCACAACGGATATCTGTAAATCATATCAATTTCAATTATTCATTGATTAATCGGAACATATTACAACAAATAGTTGCTTTGTATAAGAGTGATGGTACAAGTGGTAAGCAATTCAAACAAAAAGACACACAAGTGGAGACGCAGTTAAAAGTGTCCGACCTTTGTAGCTCTAGTTTGGACGGCTACTTGGACGGCGCGAACTTTCTCAACTTTAATTAGTATACGTTTAAGGGAATTGACTTACCTTGAGACCTGACTGCTGACTGCGACAATAATAATCGTTAGGGTTTCTATAAAAAGTAAAATCAGAAATTTGTAACATTGAAATATGAAACGTTATTGACAATATTCGTAACACTAAGAGAAGAATGTAAAGACACACATTACAAAATAGAAACATTTATGTAACTTTCTAGATGTGAGTAAATGGGAGAATATCCAAGACAAACATTATCTCGTGTAATGAAATGCTCAGAAAAGTAAAAACTGGATCATTATGTAAATATCTACACAGATCGTGTCAAATCAAATACAAGGAAACAAAAACTTGATAAAAGCACGGACGAGTTTTATATTTGGACTTACAAAAGGTCACGATAATTGATTGGAGTTCGTGGCCATTCACAAATAACTCTTTACTAGAACTAATCTAGCGTCTCCTCCCATCAAAGTTGAAACAGTCGACGACAAATAGAGATTAAATTAAAAGTAACTTCATAAACCTGCTTCAGCTAGTGGACCATATCGGGGCCAGGTACGATGAAACGGGAAAGTAACCGTGTGTTTGTAGTACTGATGACGATGGTATATATTCTCACATGTATCCAGACTATTGAAGCACGAAGTAAGTATTCTAGTGGGTGGTAATAGGGGCATGTCAGTATTCAAGAAAACTAATCGCGATCCGTACTTGAACCAACAAGAAAAATGCATCTTATATAATGTCATTACTGGCGGGTTTTCAACCCTAATCTTAAAAATGTTGGTAATTAATTACACTTTGTCAAAACTGTATGAG